ATGAGGTGGACTTGTGGCTTGGCAGAAGGGTGTGAAAGGGAGCGCGCAGTGTTTGTGTTGCTTGTATAGTGCACCCTCCAGGTTGAGGTCTCTGTTGTTTCTGTCCTGCTTTTGACTGGAGACGCTACAAGGAATATCAGCTACTCGATGTCAGTGGCGTTTGTCCTGTCAGTTTCTCTCCAGATTGTCATCAGTCTTTGACCACCGGTGTCGAGTCCTGCTCTAAGCTCTTGATAAAGTGCCCCTCATTTTAGTGATACTGAATTCTCTATAGTTCAGCAACCTTATGAGTAGTACATTACAAAGATATACATGTATCGCGATATTTCAAATATCGTAGCGACTGAAACATGAGGCGGCCTGGTGCAGCACATTCAGTTGCCTGAGAACATCATAAAAGAGAGTCAGCTGGGTTCCAGGTGAGTCTCTCGAAAGAACCAAATTAGTTTACAAATGAGTGTATATTCTCTATAGTTCTGGTTTTTAAGCTATTCTTTCCCCCCAGAATTTACGTATAGAATACCCTAACTCTCAACTACGCGAAGATAACTTGCTTTACTTCAGCAACTTGCTGAAACTAGCTAATTCGGCGTGCAACATCAAATGTGTAACTAGTCACAACTGAAGAAATGATGTTTAATACTTCATTAGAGTGATTGTTTTCCAGTATTAGTTACTTTATCACAAAAACGGCAAAACCATCAACCGGGGTGCGTATTTTTGTTGAACCCTGTAAAGGTCACGTAAAATTTGTTGCATCGCTTCTCCTAACTTTTCGGTCTCTGGCAACTCCGTCTTAAACTGAGCTCTCGTGCTTTCTCTGAGCTCAGACTGCTTACAACATGGAAATACAGATATCGGTTGATTAATATGCACCACCTGAGCGACAACGTTTGTTCCGCATTCGAATTTGCAGCCAGAAACTTTGAAACAGTCCTCTGGCTCCAACGTGTGACTGAATAAAAGGCACGTTTGTATGGGTTGTGTAGTTAGAATTCATTGGAGCTTTAACCTAATGACTAAAACTAGACTGTAACTGTTGTACTTTATCTATGTTTATGATGTTCAATGCATTCTGTGCACTTCAATTTCAAGATGTTCTGATTCCAGTTCGGAATTCAAAATACCTCAAGTTATCGTATCGGAGCCTATCGCCTTTAATGTTTAGAGCGTAACTGTGCTTTTCTATGCAGCACTGATTTTCGTTTAGCTCTGTTTGAGCACAATCCTCGTTTTAAGAACGTCCTTAAGCGCTTCGTTACCAACTGCCAACTTGATGCATCTATACGCGTGAAGTTATTGTGAAACACATGTGTCACATACATTATCTCCCCTGTGTTGTGATGATCTAAGTGGTGCACTGAATGTCCACTGGTCATGTGAATGCGAAGTCAGTAGGCTGCGCATCCCTCGAGATGGTTCAGTGGTTAAAATGCTCGAATTTACTGACTGGAAGGTTCGTGGTTCGAACCCGATTCCTGCTTCTGTCTAGGTTTGGGCAACCTGACAGTGTCTCAACCCCCAAGCGTGACAGCTAGTCACCGGGATAGTGTCACAGATGAAAGACTATTGTCATTTACACAAAATGCTAATGAGGTTCCACTAGAACTGAATTTCGGTTCTGAACCCTACCTCAGTTTACAGAGAGTCAGATCATTTCTCAGTACCATGGGTGCAGGTAAATAAAATCCAAAGTATCTCTGCACAAATTATGCAGAATCGTTGCTGTATTCATGAATACAATGGAAATTTTCAGTTCATGTGGACCATATAAATTGCATCGTTTCACTCAATTTGATCATCCAAGCTGTACAAAAATCCACTAGGATATGCCAAGGAAGTCCAATGTGTTTATTCTGAGGCTTGTTGCATTCCAGAACGCAAGTGTCAGCGAATAGGTGTAAATCGCCAAATGTTTACAAGTTCTTCTAGGTTTAATATTTGATTTGTCTGTTTTTTTTCTTTTTTTGGATAACAGGGGTCAGTAAACCCCAGAATACGACAGATTGAGGGGAAACATCCCAGCAAACACAAAAATGTAAATTTTCCCTCATGCTTTCCGTCCTCGAATTCTACTTTTCAATCTGGCGATCTTAATGACCTTTAATGCTGAATATTGACGCTTACACTTCTTTAGGTAAGGCTTCTCGCACCACTTATTGGTCACTGACTAGCTGTTCTCCAGATAGCGAAGTCGACTGGGGTGCAATCTTCCCATTCTCACTATCACTGGGCTGTAGGGAAATCACGTACCTACAGAGCTGTTGGAATAAGCACCAAGCGCGCTGCAGTGAGATTTTCTGGAGTGGGTTAGCAATGGCGATTGAAGGAGAAGGCAATTCGTGCAGGAAGTACTATTCGAATGTTCTTATTAACTGCAATCCATGTCACATAAGTACTGAGTAAACGAAAGTAAAAATCAATATCTGAAATTCAAACTTCACTCAATTTACAACCGGGTCACGTGGACCGGGTTAGATGTAACGTCTGGCAATTATCATTTATTTTTGAAGAGCATGGTCACAAACATAAGAAGTGAATGCAAGCGATGAATGCGAAAGAGTAACAGGAGAATATGGGAGAAAAGAGAGAAACGTCTCATTCGAAATCATGCCAAGGACAGTGCCAGTCTGATGAGGTGAATCCCAAAGTATGTAAAGATTTTGGTATGGGAACAGGCGTCTAAAGACTAACAACCAAAGAAAGGACAAACAATGGTGAATGCTCTTCAAGGCGCAGTATGCGCTAGCACAGTCAAGACTCGCACATCAGGCACAAAGTGACCGTCATACTGGGTCTGGGGTGAGATTAAATGGCAAAAATGTACCTTCAGCTCCATGTGCCACGCATAAAAGTGTCATAAGTACGCAGGGAGCCCACAATGGCAAGCAAACACAAGTCACTGACTGCGACCTTAGGAAGTCCCAGTCCAATAACAGCCTTCTAGCCGAAGTCTTTACTTATGTGGAGCGTAATTCAACGGCAGCACGAAACAATTACCCACACGACCCAACGCTTAGAATGATGACAATTACTTGTGCTCAACTCTGTGCGGTCAGAGGGGAGCAATGCCCCGGTAAGAACTGAAAGGGAGTGGAGGACTTGGGCCTCATTGTAGGAGGCAGGTGTCCCAATTAAGAGTTTCGGAATTAGTTACACCTCCGGACGCCGAACTCAACACACCGGAGCACCATCTTGAGTAGGATTAACGGAAATGGCAGCATTCTTTTGAACCGAACCCAAAATTTGCTCAACATTCAACAACACGCCAGATAGATGGTTCGTCTAGGATGTGGCGTCGCGTGTCGTGTAGAGTTTCCAACTATGTGCAAGCGAAGACATGTGGGCCCCGGTAGGAAGGCCCGCAAATTTCATGGCCCAAGTTGATAGTAACCGCTTTCGTTTGTTCCACCATTTAATGACCTATTCCCCGCGAACGTTTCGCCAACTGTGATGCAGAATGGAAACATCTTTCTCTGATAGATTGTGGTTGTGCATATATAGCACGTCCAAATTGCCTTAACCTGGCTCCGGTAATTCTTATGCATTACGAAATACTTGGTTACGGGCCAATTCACTGCGGGCGTGCAGCTGACTAACGCCCGCTACGCTGCCAGGAGATCGGCCATTCATATGTTGGAGCCTTCGGACCCAAGCGACCAAGTCTAACAGCCACGACAGTTTTTTGTGTCGATTCAACCAGTTTACCTGGTTCAGTCGCGTTTCTGACGCCAAAGATACCACGCCTTGATGTTTATTACGCGTAGTTTATTAATGCTCGCCCCGACTTCGTCTGTCGATCATAGCCGACACAGGTGCCAAGATACACAAACTAAAGGACAAACTCAGCTCCTCATTACATATTTTCAAATGGGTACAATGGGATTGGAAGAAAGGCTGCGTTCCGAAGGCGCCAAGATCTACCAACACATGAGAATACTTCGGTTATTCTAATTATATCATACTTCAAAATCAGTACCATCTGTATAATCCAAGTTAAATTTCTTGGGGTGCTTGCTGACGCCCACACTTGCGATCCTCGGGCCAACCACAGCAAGAATGAACAGGTCTTGACAAGATCCGCTTGTGGCGAAGTCCTCTAAGTAATTTGTCGTTAAACGTTAGGGCCCCCGGCAAATATTTGCAAACCTCAAAGGCATTCATCGCTAGCCTACTATTGTAAGAGCGCCATTCTATCCACAAGTCTGAAGCTCGCTTGAGGTCAAGGTAGACCGCAAATACCAGTCCGCAGAACGTTTGGCGTTCCTCAAGTACTTGACATACTATTAATATGTATTCTGCACATTCCATATATGCTTAAATTCTTATCTAGTGCTCTCGGGCCTTTGTTCCGCCTCCTGGGTTGTGGCTTCGCAGTATGTTCGGAACGGTCGCTGTCTTTTGATTTGGGTTGAAACAGTCGCTTCAACTCTTTTTGCATAAAAGTCCGGTGACTGGACGGCCCATTTTGTCCGGAATGCATCCTGCTTCCCACATTAGTTCGGGCTAATTAGTCGACATAGAATACCACAGTCTTTGAGGCTCATCTAATCCTGCACCCCGAAGATGTTTCGAAGTCATATCATTTCAAAAAGTGAGCTAAGAATTCCAACTAAAAAGCCCTGTTAATTTTAGTAGGCGGTTTTGGTGAAAAGGTTTACGTAGAACTGGAAACACTGTCGAACCCATGGGATATACGATTGTGAACTTTTTCGTTGAGAAGTTATCGCTCCAACTTCAGCTTATTTACACGTGCTAGCTTGTTTTCGTAAGTACTTCTATCTGGCCCCCCGAAATGGCTCTGAGTTCAAGATGTGCCCTGCAAACAAATGGTCCGTGGTCTGAACCCTGTCCGGCTCTCCGATTAACCGAGCAACACCTCAGGTTTCCCTCGGATTGTGGCAGTCTTATACTGAGTTCTGGACCTGAACTTTCTTCATTTCGTTACTCCAATCGATGTTTCCATCCGGTTTTCACCTTGCCTGTTTCCTCTGTTCCAGCTACCGCTGATCGTGACTGCAATCGCTATGGTTCTAAACCTGCTTCCCGTTTGCCTGGTGGAAGTTGTGACAGTGGTATCTCAGTTTCTTCCACTGCTTCACCATGTTCGCCATCTTTTACCTACGAAGAACATCTGAAGCACTTCAACCATCAATCGTCCCCCACTTCCCTGTCCGAACATCCAACAGTTGTCTCCCCAACAGCCCCCAGACATACCGCCTCTACGAGGAAAGTTACCAGACACATGTCAGTTGTGGATCGTATTATCCACTCCCGAAGATCACTTCAGTGATCTGAAATGTTTTATATATTTGCAGTTTGATGAAGTATTTTTTAACCGTTTACCACTCTTGCATCGGTTTCTTGCAAATACACGGTCTTGCCACTGAATGCAGTCGTTTTTGCTCCCTCGCAACAGTTTCTGTTTGCTGCTTTCGTGGGGCTTGGTATACTCCTGTTGAGTGAAATTGTTGGCGTTGGTTTATCACACTGAGTATGACACCCATCTTGTTGGTCGTTTGGTCCTGTTTGTTGGTTATCTACCGTGTAACGTATACTCCTTATGATTCTAAATCCCGCTTAAAAAATTTAAGAACTCTGTATTCCAAGAAATCTTATGTTGTATATTACGGCAAATGGACCACCAGATGCAGCTACATCATCATCATCATCATTGACAGCATGACATCAGTGTTCAACACCGATGCTTCACTGCCGTAGATGCAGCTACAGAGCGTAGCTGTTGCGTTTTCCTGACACCCTGGCATACTGTTCGTACAGTGAAGTCCCCTGACCGTTCACCGTAGTTAACCGCATCAGCTTTTATCACTGTTGGTGAAGCAAAACAACGTTATTCTTGCTTAATGCATATGAAGTGAATTTAAGCAACTACCTGGTGAAACTGGACTTGATTTTGCAACTTCCAGATAACTGTACTGCTTGATTACAGGAGCAACACCTGCCGTACCGCGAAGTAATAAATGCTCATGTAAATTTTGCTCTAATAAGGCAGAAATATCCATGACCACGCATTACAAACCGTCTAGTTGTCCCTTCCCAAAAATTCATGTTTCTAACGAGTAAAATTATTGTGTCATACGAAAGTCAAAACAACTCGGTCTTCTCGTCGCCGCAGCTAATGGCTGATCTTGTTCTAAAAGATAGTCAAGTTAGGGACAGTTGCTGCCATCCTGCTTATGATCACAGTGGGGTACGAAGGCACAGGATCGTAACTGCTTCCGTTGTTTTCAACTCACTATTGCCTGCGCAATGATTTAGACCGTGTTGTACTCGGCGTAGTGTAACCTTTTTGAGCGAAGCACTTGTGTTCGAGCATTGAGACGCGTTGTCTCAGAGAACTTCAATCTGTACCAACAGCAGATCACCAGGCCTCTGTCAAATGTCAGACTTTCCCACGATCTGCAACATCGCCTAGATTTTCCAAACCTGAAGGATATATATATATATACTGAGTTTCGACCGACCTTATGTCCTTGGCCACCGAACCGTATGTAAATAGTTCGTTGAATGGTATCATGAACAAGGGCTGAACTACCAATATTCCCCTTCTGTGGATAATTACTAGCGCTTTCCAGTGGCAAATTTTAGTTGTTCCTTGCTAGTACCTCTGCATCGCGCAGGGTCATTATGTAACGGAACATGACTGCTCTTTGTTCATTTATATATGAGTGCAGTTCCATCCAAGATGAAAATACATTCTTGTCGATAGTTTGAACAAAACTGTATCAAGTGCATTTTCCATTCGATATCGGGTTTGGCATTCGCATCCGTTCCATTTAATTCTTTAAGCCGAATTTTTTGCCTCCATAGTGACCAACCGTATCTCCATTCAGACAGACTTTTTCCCTAGGTGCCAAGCCTATTGTATTGTATTGTATTGTATTAATCTCCTGTTAGCCTGTATTTTTTATGGGCGCCGAAAAACCGTTAGTAGAACATTTGCAATGTGGGTAAGGGGTGTTTTCTTGCACAAGCCCTATTTCCGTGGCTACTTGCGTCATACCTGGTGCACTTGCACTATATGCGTCCGCATTATTCGACTTGTTTCGCACTGCTCCACGCAGATCATAATCGTTCACAAAAGCTGTCAAAGTGGTGGTTTTCAGGCGAGAATAACTCGTACAGGCATAACTAGTGATAGGCCATACTAACTGGAAACCGGAACAATGACATTTTAGTTCAGTTCGAGTGTCCTAAATGGCTTTTGTGAATATTTCACTTGGTCTAGATTGAGCGCATCAGATATTCAATATTCTGACAAAACTGTGGTCGAGACACGCTCGTACAATTTGGTGAACCTGTTTAACGACCGTTAGTCCCTGTCATCCTGGTCATTACGAAAGCTTATTTTTTATTTCACCCAGCTTAGCTCAAATAAGAACCAATCACGAAGATTCATTTCAATACAACGACGAGATAAATTGCAATTATCTTGAAATCGATGGGTTTTGGATTGCCCTACGTTGCTGCATCTGGTGTTACACCCTCGTTATTTTCAAACATTACTACTGTAACATTTTTCACTATCTCGTGCTATGCGCGTATCCTCGACTAAACTGCCGGTTGAGCTAAATCAAGAAAAAGGGCTCAGTAACTTGTCAGTTTAGCTCAGTTTAACTTGCCGCTGGACTAACATGGCTCATACCCATCGTGGTGTTTCCCCTCTGGTTATAACTACCCATTCCCGTGAATCCGTTAGTGTTTCATCGAGAGGGGTTACAATCGAAAAAATCACATGACCGAAATCATCTCAATGAAGGTGACCTCTCCTTAACTTGAGGAAGTTACGTCTTAGCTTGTTAATATGTGGATGCCGCGGAAGTTAGAACGAGAGCAACTGACGTACATGTTGGTTGATGGACGAAACCAAAACGGAATTTTGTGATCCTGCACTTCAAGTTGTGGACTTATAGAGAACGTTTTCTCATTTCAGGGCCTCGAAGTTCGCAACAATGTAAAGCACTCAGAATTACCTTACATCAAGATGTGTACAAACTCTAATATAAGATTTACAGGTGCCGCAGTATACCGAGGAAATCCTATTCGTTCCCAACCGTCACGAAGAGACTGGACCTTACCATGGTGTGACGGTTTGCGCACCTCAGCGATCCATTGAGCTATACTGGAGAGTGTCCCGCGACACTCACAGAGTCTCTCATACCAGGT